CATGACCTGAGCCGAAGGCAGTCGCTTAACCAACTGAGCCACCCAGGCGCCCCCATGAAAGTTTCATCTTAATGCCTAACACCACTGCAACAAAGTTTAGCTAGAAAACATAGCTATTTCCTCTTTGATCTATGATATAATGAATAGAACTGTCTTATGTCTGGTAGCAATCATTCATTTTCCAAACTAGGTACTTAAACATCAGGTTAAAAAAAAGTTACTACAATTTTTCAAAAGAGAGAATGGAAAAAGATCAACTACTTACCTGAGAGTTCCAGAATGCTTCTTAAAAATATAAAACCGTTTAGTCGGATGGTTGCTATGAGAGCTGGAGAGACAACAGACAAGTGGGATTTTATTATACAATAAGTCATATTAATTTTATGACCATATTTCAAAGTCCATGTTTAGTTTCTTAGTTTTGAATAAAAGATCATGACCTAAATTATTAAATTCTATTCTTCTGTTTTAATTCATTTTTTATCTTACATTTCATTTTACCTGTGTATTTTCTAACAACGTATTTCCCTGAGAATATTCTTAAATGATCAGTACCCTCACCATTATAAAAAAAAAAAAACCTCTCATAGTTAAAAATGCAAAGAGCATCAATTTAAATTTTTACAATAATTAAGAGTTGAAAACAATTTAAAAGGTATTTGTTAATAATGTATTTTGCTATAATATAAATTGTTATGAATAATAATTTTCACACTTTCTTATCTTAATATACTTAGCAAGTGGGGAGAATCTGAATGATCCTTGAAGTAAATGCTACTTGGGCTAAATTACATTACCTTTACCTGCCATCAGTAAAACGAAACATTTAAAGAATCTTTTGCAATTATTAGGAGAGCCTTTAGGGAAAGCAAAGCAGAGCTCATGAGTTAAAACAGTATTTCTTCTATGCACAGAACAAAAAAAAAAAAACCACTAACCAAGTTTTGCAGCCAATGGCATTAGCTTTTATACCCCCTTTTATTTTTATTTCTAAAAGATTTATTTATTTTAGAGAGAGAGCGTGTGAGCAGGGGGAGGAGCAGAGGGAGAGAGGATTCTCAAGCAGATTCCCTGCTGAGTGTGGAGCCTTGGCATGGGGTTTGATCCCAGGACCCTGAGATCATGACCTGAGCCAAAATCAACAGTCGACCACTTAACTTACTGAGCCACCCAGTACCCCCTTTTAAACTGATAAGGAAAGCCTTCCTGTATTAGAAAGTCAGGCGGGATTAGCCAGGACTAGCATAGCACAGTGTTACTCAAAGTGTGGTTCATGGACCAGCAGCATCTGTATCACCTGGGAACTCAGCAGAAACACAAAGTCTCAGGCCCCACTCTAGACCTGCTGAATTAATTGCTGGCACTGAGACCCAGAAATCAGTTTCAACAAGTTTTTCAGGTGATTTTTTTTTTTTTTAAATTTTACTTATTTATTTGACAGAGAGAGAGCACAAGCAGGGGGAGTAGCAGAGGGAGAGGGAGAAGCAGGCTCCCCGCTGAGCAGGGAACCCGATGCGGGGCTCGATCCCAGGACCCTGGGATCATGCCCTGAGCTGAAGGCAGCCACTTAACCGACTGAGCCACCCAGGCGCCCCTTTTCAGGTGAATTTTTATGCAAGCTAAAGTCTGAGAAACACTAGCTGCCCTAGCTTGCACTGACAGACCCAAACCAGCCAACACACCAGGTCAATGATTATCATTAGACAAAAGGTAACTATCACCAGCATACCATGTACGCATGGGAAAAAAAATGATTCTGGCTAGCTATAATCCCATGAAAATAGCTGCAGAATAGGTGCCATGCTGAATACAAAGAACTGCTCTCTCAAGTAGATAAGACACATATTTAATATGAGGCAGAATAGCTCAATGGTACAGAACTCAAAGGAAGGAATGATTCCTATGAGTGGCTGTGGTGATCATATTCTTCACAGAAGAAGGTAAACTGAGAGGGAAGAAGGGGAGCAGTCCAAGGAATAACAAAGAATATGGAAAACCACTTTAGATATTGAATATGAAACAAACTATATGTTGGGGAAGATTAATTTGGGGGGCCTGACTTGTTACAGAGTCGGTGCGGGCTGGGAATAAAGGTACTCAACCTCTAAGAAAATGAGACTCTGTAGGTACAGAGCTCAAGTCTATGACAAAAGTCCACACTGGGTCAGGGTGTACCATTCAGAGGGAGGTACCTGAGGCAACAAAGGAAGCAAGACACCACTGAATTAGGAGAAATGCAAAGGCCCTTAGAAAAGCAGAAGTGGATACTTTCAGTTCTTTATGAGGCTAATAATGAGTAAGTGCTCCATGTGTGTGATAACAATGCAGTGCAAGGTTGGGGCTCACTGGAAATTAGGAAAAGGTTATAAAGGAAGCCTGAGGCCAACTGGGAATATTTTGGGATAGAATGGTATTGGAGGTCCTAGAAGACAGCTGAAGAACCTATGGAAAATGGGAGGCAGGAGGACAGAATGACCATGGGTTTAAGAAACACTAAAAATATTTTCCAATTTAATCTCCTACAAATTAGGGGCAGAATTAAAGCTCCATTGGGGCAGCCATGTGTTTGGCACAGAATAAAAGACCAACATTCATAATTGCTATCAAAATACCAACAACATTTTTCACATAACTGGAAAAAATAATCCTAAAGTTTGTATGGAACCGCAAAAGACATCGAACAGCCAAAGCCATCTTGAAAAAGAACAAAGCTCGAGGTATCACAATTCCAGATTTCAAGATATACTACTAGAAAGCTGTAGTGATCAACACAGTCTGGTACTGGCACAAACACACACACATAGATCAATGGAAGAGAACAGAGAGCCCAGCAATAAACCCACACTTAACATGGTCAATTAATCTATGACAAAGGAGGTAAGAATATACAATGGGGGTAAAGACAGTATCTTTGACAAATGGTGCTACAAACACTGGACAGCTACATGCAAAAGAATGAAACTGGACCACTTTCCTACACCATACACAAAAATAAACTCAAAATGGATTAACGACCTAATGTGAGACCTGAAGTCATAAAATTCCTAGAAGAAAACATAGGCAGTTATTTCTTTGACATCAGCTGTAGAAACATTTTTCTAGATATGTCTCCTCAAGCAAGGGAAACAAAAGCAAAATTAAACTATTGGGGCTACACCAAAATAAAAAGCTTTTTTTATTTTTTAAAGTAAGCTCCATGCCCAGTGTGGAACACAGGGCCTGAACTCACTTGACCCTGAGATCAAGACCTGAGCTGAGAGCAAGAGTCGGAAGCCTGGGGGCGCCTGGGTGGCTCAGTTGGTTAAGCGACTGCCTTCGGCTCAGGTCGTGATCCTGGAGACCTGGGATCGAGTCCCGCATCGGGCTCTCTGCTCGGCGGGGAGTCTGCTTCTCCCCCTGACCCTCCCCACTCTCATTCTCTCTCTCAAATGAATAAATAAAAAAAAATCTTAAAAAAAAAAAAAAAAAGAGTCGGAAGCCTGACTGACCGAGCCACCCAGGGGCCCTCAAAATAAAAAGCCTTTGCACAGCAGAGGAAACCATCAGCAAAACAAAAAGGCATCCTACTAAATGGGAGAAGAAATTTGCAAATGTTATATCTGCTTCACCCTCTCCCTCTCCCCTGCCCTGCTTGTGTTCTCTCTCACTCTCTCTCAAATAAGTAAATAAAATCTTAAAAAAAGAGTACAATTATCTTGATGAGCACTGAGCAATGTACAGAATTGTTGAATCATTATATTGTACTCCAGAAACTAATACAACTGTATGTTAATTATACTTAAATTAACAAAATACCAGCATTCTTCCCAGCAGTATACTGAGAGAAAGATTTGCTGGGGCCTGGTTTAGAGCAACCAAGGTATAGAAAGCCCTGCAGTAGTTGGGAGGCAGAGTGGTAAATTGCAGAAGGTGGACATTCAGGAAGCCATTATGAATGGTGGCAGATAAAGAGAGCACCATAGGCTTCAGAAACGTGTATTATTTTCAGTTGATGCTCCACATTTCCGCAAATGACACCTTGAGACAAACTGAGACAAACTGAGCTTAAAGAGTATTGGGGTGATGGTAGTTTGGATCCCAGACAGACAGTGATGTTTGACTTATTTTTGTTCTTTAGAGATGCCAGTGGGTCAAAGATGAAAATATCTATCAAACTGATGAAGAGATGGATCTCAGGAAAACTCAGCATTGAAACTGGAGGATTTATAGTTGAAAGGTAAAACAAAATTCTGAGTGATTAAGGTACCAAGAAAAGGAACGTAAGGAGGCAAGAAGAGTTGAAAAAAAGAAAAGGTAAGGAAATAAAGGCAATCTACTGAATGGGAGAAGATATTTGCAAATGACGTATCAAATAAAGGGTTAGTATCCAAAATATATAAAGAACTGATACAACTCAACACCCAAAAACCAAATAATCCAATCAAAAAATGGGCAGAAGACATGAACAGACATTTCTCCAAAGAAGACATCCAGATGGCTAACAGACACATGAAAAGATGCTCAACATCACTCATTATCAGGGAAATGCAAATCAAAACTGCAATGAGATATCACCTCATACCTGTCAGAATGGCTAAGATCAAAAACACAAGAAACAACAAGTGTTGGCAAAATTGTGTAGAAAAAGGAACCCTCATGCACTGTCGGTGGGATGCAAACTGGTGCAGCCACTGTGGAAAACAGTATGGAGGCTCCTCAAAAGTTAAAAATTGAACTACCCTAGGATCCACTAATTGCGCTACTGGGTTTTTGCCCAAAAAATGCAAAACACTAATTCAAAGGGATACATGCACCGCTATGTTATTGCAGCATTATTTATAATAGCCAAACTATGCAAGCAGCCCAAGTGTCCACTGACAGATGAATGATAAAGATGTATATATATATACACAATGGAATATTATTCAGCCATAAAAAGAATGAAATCTTGCCATTTGCAATGACGTGGATGGAGCTAGAGAGCATAATGCCAGGCGAAATAAGTCAGAGAAAGACAAACACCATATGATCTCACTCATATGTGGAATTTAAGAAAAAAGCAAATGAGCAAAGGTAAAAAAGAGACAAAACCAAGAAACAGACTCTTAACTACAGAGAACAAACTGATGGTTACGGGGGGGAGGGAGGGGGGAGGGTGGGATAGGTGATGGGGAATAAGAGCACACTTATCATGATGCGCACTGAGTAATATATGGAATTGTTGAATCACTATACTATACACCTGAAACTAATATTAACACTGTATGTTAACTATACAGGTTTTAAAATGAAAAAACTTAAAAAGTAAAAAAATGAGGCAAAAAAAGAAAAGGTAATGAAATAGAGGAGTAGCCAAAAGGGAAGAAAAAATTATGGTAACATATTAAGAGAAGTTGAGATTTTCAGAAGTGAGTGATCAAAAGCATCAAATATTCTCAAGAAGTCACAGAAAAGTAAGAATGGAAATTAGTGAGTACATTTAGTGATTAGGATATGACTGATAATTTTTAAAGGGGCAGCTTTAACTAATAGGTGGGGGTGATACTCAAATTACAAAGGGTAAAGAAGTGGCAAATAGGTAGTAAAGAAACTCTTTAAAATGTTGACAGTAAAAGGAAGACAAAAAATATGCACAGTGAAGGCAAATCTCCTTCATCCTAAAAAAAATGCCTGAAAATATGTGCAGGCAGAAGGAATGTGGTAGAGAAAAAGAGATGAAATGAAGACACAAAATAACTGAATAAGGTTGTGGGGAAAATGGAAGAGATGAGGGGCAGTATTTGCTTTCAAAAAGTGAGAAATATCTTTTTCTGAGATTTATGTCTGGATAAAGGGAGAAAAACCTGAGGTAGAAAAAAGTTAATCTTGGGAAAAATGAGAAGGATGACCTCTGAGTAATTAGTAGGAACAAGACTAACAACAAAGAGACTAGAATAAAATCTTGAGGGTATTGAAAAGGATTTAAACAGATGTTGTAGATAAAAAAAACAAAGAAGCATTTTTAAAAACACAGAACGAAATTAAAGTTAAAAATCACAAATTCAGAGCTAATTAAATCAAGTGCAGTTTGGTAGTTTGGAAAGGAGCACAGCAAAAGATTGAAAAGGATAAGAGATTCACGGATAGCAAGGTTAAACATGTCTGAATATGAAAAGGATTCTAGGATAAAAAGCAAGCAACATTCAAAACAGATGACCTTAAGGGTGAGGTTGATAGGAAGTTAGATTGGTGCAGGTGGACTAGAAAGAAGGGTCAAGACTCTAAAAATCATGAGGTAGGGCGCCTGGGTGGCTCAGTTGGTTAAGCGACTGCCTTTGGCTCAGGTCATGATCCTGGAGTCCCGGGATCGAGTCCCACATCAGGCTCCCTGCTCAGCAGGGAGTCTGCTTCTCCCTCTGACCCTCCTCCCTCTCATGCTCTCTGTCTCTCATTCTCTCTCTCGCAAATAAAATCTTAAAAAAATAAAAATAAAAAATAAAAAAAATAAAAATCATGAGGTAATGAGAATTCAAAATGAATACTGTATATGATGAGCTAAGTTGGGACACTGGTAAGGAAGGGGGTACAACATAGAACAGAGGTCTTATGCTCTGCACGAAAACCACTTTTATTAGTTATTTCTGACTGAAAATAAATGGAACTACCTCAGTTTGAATAATCAACTTAGCATATTTATATCTGAATAATTTTTATGTATTTAAATAAATCCTTCCTGAAAGAATAAAGTAAGCTGCTACTAATGAGGTCCAAATGAAAGTAATGTGGTCTCTGACGTCTTTCTCTAGCATAGAGTACACGGTAGGTGCTCAAATAAGATAAATTGAATTGATGTATGAAAAGGAATTCTAACAGTAGCATCATGACTAGAATATCCCTATAGTCTCTCATTTCACATTTCATTGTTGAATGCAAAGATAAATGGCTTGAATGACTAATGGACAGAAAGATGGATGAAAGGAAGGGGGGAGAAGGAGGGGGAGAAATTCTTAGCATCTTTGACAAACCTGGAAGTCTCTCAAAGTGACTGCTTTGAAGAGGATAACACTCATGGGGTTACACGTATTTATGTGATAAATATTTTGAAAACATTAAACATTTTTATGTTTGAGAATAACCACTTTTTAAAAGACTTAGAAAAACAAATTTCCCAAACCTATTCTAATTTCATTGGTCTAACTGTTCTTAAAAATTTCTGTCCCCCTAATTTCACGATTTATTATGTTGGAAAATAATATTAAGTAATATCCTAGAAGTTCCCTATTGCTCAATCCTTTTAGCTCCTTGACATGGACAACTATTAGGACAACTTTATTTTTAAAAAACAAACATCTTAAATGGGAATTTTGATTGGTGGTGTACATGTTTAACTTACCTCACCATGTGATTTATAAAGGCTTTGTTACAGTTAGTGTTGTATTTGCAAAAATTACAGTGGATATATATTGAAAAGTGGCTTGCAAAATCTTTTATTTTGGAATGACACTCAATGCACTTGTGAACTCCCCGACGACACCTTGTAGAGACAGAAAAAAAAAAAAAAAGATGAAAATATATCATGAAACAAAAATAATAAGGTAAAGCCTTATTCACGTTTTATTAACTAAAGCTAAAATGCTTAAATTAACATCTTTAAGTAGAGACATAATTTGAAAATTTGATTTGAAACAATAAGCTAGAATAAAGTGTCAAAAATCAAACACCTGGAATAAAAAGGATCACATTTTATTCCCTGGAATAAAAAGAATCACATTAATCAATTCAACTATCACAAGATATAAGCACAAAATAGATTAATGTAATTGATGATAATTATACAATGAACACTAATTCCAGTTCTGCTCAGCAGTTGTAAAGAGTACCTTTTTTTAATCTGCTTAGCCTTTATGCCAGACAAGTGATCAGCATGTAACCGTGCAAGGGACCTTTGTGATATGGTAAATTATATTAAAATAACCTTTAATATTTAAGATTCAATTAGTATTATATATCTGGAATAAAAGATATTACCTTAAGTTCTTCAAAGCCATGCTAATTTTATTCTTTCTGTTGCGTTGTTTCTTTTGCTTGTAAGAGGTTTTAGTCTTGCATTTAGATGCACCTCTACCTTGCTTACTGGTATTAGGTTTAGTTCCATGAAGCTTACTTGTCTTAGATTTACTTGTATTAGATTTTGTGGAATTTTTAGCAGTTATACTTTTAGACTTCGCAGGTGAGAGCTGAAAAGAAGAAGTGCTTGGAACACTACTACTGGGAGATGATGTAACTGGTTTTGAATGAAGCGGTCCAATTGAGGCTCGAATAGTGACCTATAAAAATGAAGGCAAAATATATACATACTTTAGAAAATTAATCGTCGCATTAATATTAAAAAGTTCACTGCATGTCTTGACATTATAGTCCATTGGGTTTTTTTTTTTTTTTGATTTTGTTTATTTATTTGAGACAGAGAGAATGAGAGACAGAGAGCATGAGAGGGAGGAGGGTCAGAGGGAGCAGCAGACGCCCCGCCGAGCAGGGAGCCCGATGCGGGACTCGATCCCGGGACTCCAGGATCATGACCTGAGCCGAAGGC